GACCAATTTGTGTATGTATGCTGTGTTGTAACTTTGTATCAAAATAAGCATACAAGAATGACTTCACATCTACACTGTGTCCTGATCTTCTAATACAGATGTATGTAGAAAATGTTTAACAAATTAATTTGGAACAGATCTCTGTTAGCTGGCCACTAGCAATGGACTCCTTCATAGCCAGAGGTTCTAGGTATCTGCAGCAGATCTAGAAAGGTCTCCTAGAAAGGAGAAAGGTCTCCAATCTGAGGAACTTTCTCCCTTGGAATTATCCTTCAATGGGGAAAATTGTGTTTCTTTCCATTGCACTTGGATCAAGTACAAACAGCACAGCTTTTTTAAAGGATTCATTGTTTCTTCTAAAACCTATTTTTTCTGGTGTGGAAAAGGATATTAAAAGCAGTAGAAAAATAAAGGAGGGATCCAGACTTTAGACAATGGCATCTGGACCACTTCCGGCCTTGAAATTGTGTGTGTCTGCCCAAAAGCGGTGTGTCTGCACAAGGAGAGCTCTGTCTGGAAGTGCCCATTATTTTCTGGAACTGAAACTGAAAAGCTCCACCCAGCAACTGTTTGAGGCATCAAGATTGCTTCATAAAACCTGCTGAATACTATGGAGCATTACTGAAAGGCACTTGAATACAATCTGATGCCACTGTTTGCTGACTCCGGCAATATGGGAGGACTGAATCTGAAACAAGAATGAGAGGTGGCCATGTAAGCAAAGGAAAGGTGGGATCTATCAGGCTACCAAGTCCTGGAAACTATACCTTGAAGGAAGGTAGCAGTAGTTACACACAGCACACAGTTAGTGGATTGAAGACTAATGGCATAAGTTGGTAGAAGACTGGGTAGAAACAGAAGCTATTCTTGAACAGGATATGGAAACTTCTAGAGAGAGGCAAAAGCCAGAGTTTTAAGGAAGTTAATATGCAATCGTTTTCTACAATTCTTATTACTACTTGAGCGAAGGAGTTAGCATCTTGCTTTCATTGTATCAAATCCAGATTAATGCAATTAAGAACAAACAAGCATTCAGAATGAGGGTGCATGAAAGAACAGTACCATTCTAAACTGCATTTCCTGTGAAAAACATTTAGTTAACTGTAAAGCAAACAAAAGCCCCACCTTAAAATATGCAAGCCTATTTGTGTAGCATACATCAGTTTCAAATCTACAAATGCCTTTATTTCCATTTATTATTCATTCTGTTTATTATTAAATATACTCCTAGTTATTAGCTGCATAGGAAAAGCACATTTGTATAGCATGTGATAATACTAATCACTACATTTAAATTACAATAATGGTGTGCTGGCTAATGTATTGTTCAGAGCAATTCCCTATTTATTCTATTGCTCCCTCAGAATCCTGTTTACTTCCCTCCAGCTGTGAAAGGAAATATAAGCCTCTAAACCTCTCTGCTTCTCTCCTAAGATTTATTTTGAGTCAGTGAATGCAAAGACAAGCATTGTTGATAACATTCCTAAATTCATTTAGTTCTCCTGGCTACAACATAGCATATTCCTCTTGTTAGGAAAACAGAAATATAGCCTAGCACTTCTTTTTGCAGGTGACAATACTGGGCACTTTTCTGCACAGATTTATTGTGCACTCATGTTTCCTTGCTCATGGTAGTTTGTGAAAGCTTCACACATCATCCTCATCCTCTAGGGCCTTTTCAATGGTTTGCAAGTGCTCCCATTTTTTTTTTAATGAGGAAAGTATAGTATTATTTAGAAATTGCACTGCAAGAAGTTTGTGTATTTGCACAATGCTGTTATACTTCAGCACCAGCTAGTGGTTGTGTAATGGAACTTATAGAAAGGCAGAGAAAGAAAACCCTGAAAAAAAGCACACATAAAGGAGTCCGTCTTAATTCTGTAAAAAAACCTGAAGCAGACGCACCAATATAGTGGCAGGTTAAAAGTTTTAGGTAGAGAAGCTCTATGTGAAAATTCAGCAACAGGGTAATGAAGCCAGTTTTCAGGTTTGCCATCCTCTTCACAATTTCCCTGAAGCTTAGCTGGAACCCTCAGAGTAGCTGGGAAGAAAGCGGATTTTCCTAACAATAATATATTTTTCTTGCTATAATGTACTTTTGCACCTCTTGGTTCTGAATGGACAAAGAAGACCCATTAGCTTTACGAAAAACCTACTTGTGGCAGATGAAAACTACTAGGATGGGTTTGCTGATAGGGATAAACACAGCTACCTGCAATTTTGTACTCTCTCTGGGGGCACGACTGTGGAAATGTTTCGATGAATGTCTGTACACCTACACAACCACACTGAACATTGCTGAGCAAATCAAGAGCCAAGCCACACTTCCAGCCTGTATGAATTGTGACACTTTCTGCTCCCGTCAAATGTAGGACATGTCAGTAGGGCCGTGTATCCTTGCCTGTTTCCATCAGAACTTTAAAGGAGCTAACCAGGCTGCTGAATCTATATTGTAGATAAAAGTTCACTCGAAGGATAGCTTCTTAAAAGTTCAGGCTGAAGTGGTACCCCGTTCACAGACACTGGAACTATCTGCCTCCCGTGATGGTAGTCATGTCTGGGAGCCCACCAGGGGCTTCTTAAAGGTCCCTTTTCAGCATATCCAAGAGTGGAAGCAACAGCAATTTTTTAGCACCTGTCAGGTTATGGTATGTGATATGTCCCATGTTCTCTAGGCCAGCTGTGAGGCTTTTAACCTGCCACTTTACTGAGGCTTCTACATCTTCACATCTGGAGGGCACAGGAAAAACTTATAGTTTGTCCCCTGTGTTTATAGTTTAGTTCTTTGCATACAAATCCTCTGGGGACCACCTGTCACAAGATTGCTAGCAGTGCAACAATAACAGCAGGGGTTGTGGGGGCAAGGAAACAAACAGACCTCAAATATACCAGCTAAAACAAGATGTTCCAGGCAACAAAAAGCCTCTCTAGGGACTGCGATTGATTTACCCTACATGCGCACCAGTCACTGCTCTCTGCTCTCCAGCTGTTCTTTTTATTTGCTCCAGCAGGTTTTCTACTACTGAAGTCAGGTCAGCAAGATTTGAAGTCAAACTATTATTTATCTATATGGAGTTCAAAACCTGTGTGTATGAAAGCCTTTTGAGAACAGGTGTGACTAGCATATGAGTAACACTATCATCTTAATCCTCTGCCACTGCGCTTTTGTGGTATTTCCCATTTTTGCTTGCTTCAGAGCTAGTACATGCATTAGTGTTCCACGTTGTTCATAGATCACAAAAAGCTGTCTAGCCTAGATTAAAAACTGCTGATCATTTGACATACCTCCTTATTAATATGATCATGACACTCCTACCCTCATTTCTTCTCTTTCCATTTGCATTTCTCTCCCTGCAAACAGAAAACTAGCCTACCAGAAAGCAGACTGGGTCTTTGTTCCCTGTCTTCCAGTTGATGTTTCGAGGGAAGTAATCCACTTGGTAGAACATTCAAAAACCTAAAGTAGCTCACTCCCAGTCCAACATGGTCTAGTTCCCTCCATCACCTTTCTGGCCTGCATATATAGATCCCAAAACAAGCCAATATACATAAAATACCCACAGGAACAAATTGTTCATGTCACCTAACATCACCTTAGTGACAATACTGTTCAAAAGAAGCAAATCACATTTTCACCTGTTTGTACAAGACTTCCTGTCTTGAGGATGTCAGTCGACATGCATCTGGAGCAGGAAAAGGAAATCTTAACAAGACAAAACAAAAGTGTCTACTACTCAAGTGAAACCCTCAAGTGTAACCCTCAAAGAAACCTTAGTGTGGCTGAGCCTTGTACATACTTTACAGTAGACAAAAACAGTTGTACATGTTTTTGGGCCAAAGTCTGTTGGTGCAAATATACAAAGTCAAGCCTCTCAAAAAATCCTACTTTAAAAAAAATGCAGAATCAGATAGCTGAAAACAACTCACTTCTTACTAATGATGTACTTTAGCTACAGTTCTCAGGACCTTTTCAAGCTTTCACAGAAGACCAATTTGACATTAAATTTGAGGCAAAACTAATAGATTGATCACTGCATTTGAATTGCATGTTTTAATTTTACAATAAGGTTCACCACAGTCTTCAAGCACAAGCAGCAGAATTCGTAAGTGTATAGTATGGTCACTTCATCGGATAGCATTCTGTCCCTGAATGTTGATTAGGACAGAAATGCTATGCCAGCTCACTAAGCAAGTGGCGGTAATGGGAAGGCACTTCAGCTACTCTGAGAAGTGAATCAGCAGATCATAGGATGCTCTTGCCAAATGATTTCACTGCACATCCCTCCCCACTTTTTTTTCCATGCAAGTCTGCTCCTATCCTTCTCAAGCTGGTGTCACATCCTACTTGCCCAGCCTTTTAAAAAAGCATTCACTAAGGTCGGTCCCTTCCAGATATGTTGGAGTCCAACTCCCATAAATAGCCATGCTGGTTGGGAATAATGGGAATTGCTAGTTTCTGGAGAAAACATGTTTGGTGCTCTCCTATTTTTGTACCTTTGCCCCATTCTAAAAAATTGAAATGCCTTCCCTAAGACTTAGTTACTGGTGGTAATATTTTTATGCTGGCCTTTTGTCCCCAGCCACTTCTGAAATGTAGCCTCTGAGAGCTCCTCCAAAAATGAATTTGATTCTTGAACTGAAAGGAAAATAGACGTGGGTTTTCTTACAGAGAAAAGAGAGTCTCTGGTAATATCTATTGAGGACTGTCTTCCCACTCTGCAGTGATTCAAAATGAAAATGTTGTGGCAATCATCTTCCTTTCTGGCCACAGTCTAAAAACTCAAAAGCTTTATGCCCCTCTGCAACAACTCTGAAGTCTTCAAGTTCAGAAAGAGACTTATCACAGGAAACTGCTGAATATAAGATGTGTCACATGTGAGAAAATTCTATTAAATATTGAGTTTCAAATTAATCCCTTTCTAATTCTGATTTACTAGTACATTTTGCCTAGGGCAACTCCATTACTAAGCAGAGAAATAAAAGCAAGTGAAAACCATAAATCTGGCCATCTGTTTTTTATCTTTGCAGCATATAGTAGATTGCAAACACAGCTAAATTATTAGCATAATCTTCTTTTCAAACATAAACAACAATGCAGACCATTTAAAATGCAATACCTGAGACCAAAAAAGGGGAGTTGTTTCATTGTTTGATCTAACAGTCATTTCCTGAAATGGGTTCACTAAAGATTTTTTTTTTAAGATTCCCAAAGAAAAACATTCAATTTTTATTAAAAAGATATATAGGAAAAATACATTTTCATGCAAATATGCCTTGGACTGAGGAGAATTTTGTATATTCATTTACCTGAAAAAGATAATGCCATATTACTGAACTAATCCTGAAGTAACAAAATATCAACATTGTCATGAACTCCTTGCAAAAGCAGCTCTCCTGGATAACTAACAATCTTCCTCCGTTTTGCAGCTTTAAGAGTCCCCACTAAAGCTTCAAAAAGGTTGGCACATTTTTCATCAGCAAAAAGCACTCCAAACTTCACACTCAATGTCCCATCAGGATCTAGACAAAAGAATTACAATACAGTGACATATAACACTGATTCAATCAGGCATTTGTGAAGAGTTCATATTTTTAAATACTTTGTCTTGTTTTTCCATTTTGTATGACTCACTTTGATTTGCGTGTTGAATTGCTGTAAATCACCTTGGTTTACAGCAAAAAGCAGTCAGTAAATGTTGCAAATAAGTAAACATTCCATCACACAAAAGAATCATAGTGGTAGCATTACTAACCATTTAGGGTGAAAAACGTAACACCATTTAAGCTCAATCCAGTTAAGTTTAGTCATGATGAACAGTATGAAACTAAACTGAATTTATGGCCACTAAGAAAGAGCCATGTTTTTAAAGGTTTTTAAATTATCTTCCCTCAAAGGTACAACAGTATATTGAACATATATCACTACTAGCAACATTCTTACACCACCAAGACACTGGCAATGCAAGAGGGGGAAATTTGGCACAGCTGAGGCATCAAAGGAATTGGCAGAGCTAAGGAATGGGGCTTAGCAGGAATCCTACAAATGCTCAAGGCTTGGGCTTGTCCCTGTGCTACAAAATTGGTGGAAGTAAAACACTTTCACTTCATTCAGTGAAGAACCTTGCAGCCTTCCCCAAGCTGGTGCCTCCAGAGGCATTTGGACCACAACTCCCAGAATGCCCATCCAGCAGGGCCATTGACTGGCAACTCTGGGTGTTGCAGTCCAAACTTGTCTGGAAGACACAAGGTTGGGGAAGGCAGTCTTAGACAATTGGCCTTTAGGAGTAAACAAGGAGGAGCGAGTATAAGTTGATATATTTCTCCAAGATCTCTGCAGCTCCTCCATCCCAACTGCCCAAAGTATCCCAAGGAATGCAGAGCACTCAAATAGCCCTGGCGACATAGCTCCACACACCTTAGCTTTGAATGTGGGCAAATAGTGTGCCACTAAACAACTCTGCATTATTCAGCAAGTAGTGGAAGTGTTCCTTACAAAGGAAACAAGGAGCAAGAAGACACTGGGTGAGTTTGCATGGCAAGCATTGGTGTTTGTTTGTTTGCACAAGTTGATCTGTCATGTTCTGCTCCCACTCCTGTCCAGGATCCCCTCTTACAGCAGGAGGACTGGGTGCCCGATCAGCAACTTCATCCTCCCTGCTACATTTCAGGGTATGAGCCCTGTTTGCACACAGAGACTGACAGCTGCAGGAAGCTGAACTGGGTCAGGATCACAGCAGCCACAGAGAGAAGCCTTGTTCTCGAACATTTGTCCGGCAGCTGTTTTGAACTGCTACCCTCATAAGCCACTGCCAGCATGGCCAGACAGTCAGGAATGATGGGGCTTGTAGTCCAAAGCAACTGCAAGGGGAAGGTACCCTTGTGGAGAAGTGCACCTGTCATCAGCTTTCAAAAGCACAGATATCTTAAAAGGAAAAGATTGGCTTCCCCATCCTAAATAATGCCATCAGAACCCCAGAGGCATCTGGTGGGCCACTATGCAAAATGGATTAAATGGACCGTTGGTGTGAATCAGCAAGACTTTCCTTGTGCTGTTCTTATTCAGTTATTTATTTTCAGTAGTTAAAGGGTACCAGATAATAAAAAATGCTTGAGTGAAGCTCTCCACAAAGTTCCTATTGATTACTATTTTTCTTCCTTTTTTAACCACCAAGTTCTAAGTACTTACTTTTGGTCCCCAGCCGCCGAATCTCTTCAACTAAAAGGCTGATTTCATGATCAACATTCATTGTCACCTACAAAGAAATCATTTTTTAATGAGTTACAACTTGTTCCAGTTCATTGCCTTTCACATCTGCACCGTATCTCCTGAGACCTTGAAGCCAGAATCATTTACACACTAGTTAGGCAGCAGTGAGCTGTTCACATGTAGCATTTGGTTTCAACACACAATCAGTGGGAACACATAGTGTGTGCGGTGCCTCTGGTCTTCTGATGCAAACGTGACCACCTTGGCCTGTAACCCAAAGTTAGCCTAAGAATAAACTGCAGGTCTGTGGTGTGTGTCCTCACAATTCATGAAAACACTTCAACCTTTGAGAATGGCAGGTGGCACTACAGGAAAAACCAAGAAATCACCCAGTGATCAGTTGTTGTGGGGAGAGGGGGTCAGGGGCATGTGATGGAATCCCAGGGAGCTTGATTTGGGCTACAGCCTTCAGATTTACCCCCTAATCATGTCTACACTGATTGGCAACAGCAGCTCTCAAGGGTTTAGCAGGAATTTTTCCCGCCCTACCTAGAGACGCCAAGGATCAAGCCTAGGACTTTGTTAGCTACGGTCTTTCCTTCATGTATATTATCCACAGAATGCACTGGGATATATGCAGCAGCTGAATGTTTGGGCAGCAGGAATGATATGTCTGCAGAAAATTTGAGAACAAACCTAAAAATAATGGCTGCCACATTGAAAATGCCTTAGATTGCTTTGATGACAGTAATTACCAAGCCAAACATATTATTACTATTATGTATTATTATTTGTTTTATAAAACTGCCTCCAATAGTCCCATTTGCTGAGGTCTGGCAAAGCCCACCACAGATACCTGCCTTGTCCAATAGGGCAGTAGGGTCTACAAGCCTCCATCTTAGTTTCCCATAATGCACCGGAGTGACACTACATTGGGCACTCTGATGAGGCATTGTGAGAAATTGAAATGGAGGTTCCATCCAAATCACCTGAGAAGCACTGCTGCAGTTGCTAATGCAAAGTAAACCAGAAGCGGGCCACTAAAGGGCACACTTCCCAGGCTGCCTCACAACTGAACCTGTCTTCCTGTCACTCATGTAGCAATGCTGTGCAGCAGTTCCCCATTGAGTCATGCAATGCTGACAATGCTACCATAACAAGAGTGTTCTTCATTGGGGAAATGATGCAATCCGTGTGCTAAGCAAACTGATCACAAATAGCTCTGCATTGCAGAATTGTGTCTCTTCATTATTTTAATATTGCATAGCTTTTATTAGTGCTTAACTGTTTGAGTAACTGTATATAAAGTCTGTTTGAAAAATGTCAGCAAGCAAATAAAATGGTACTCATATCACTCTAACGTCAGGTGCTTTAACAATACCATCTCTTCAAAATGTTGTATCTCATTGCAATCACATTAACTACCTGAAGCAAATTGTTTGCCAACCAATCGCATCTTCATCAGATAAAAATAAGTATAGCTTCTGCATATGAACCACACAGGTCTTCCAGAACTTTCCAGAAGAATAGGTCTTCCATGAACAGGGTGCAATAAACATCTAAGTATCCTATGCATATTTAGAGATTGAAAAGTCCTACAACTACATGGGCATCATCATCATCATCCCATTACATGTTATGATTCAATCACATTTTACTATTATTATTTTATATTACTTTTTTCCTCTTGCAAGGAACCCCAGGCAGCTTCATGATTCTCCTCCACTCAGTTTTCATTTTCACAACAACCACCCCATGAGATGGGTTGGGCTGAGAGTCCATGACAGGTCCAAAGTCACCCTGTGAGCTTCATGGTTGAGTGGGATCTAGATCTCCCAGGTCCACAGCCCAAGACTCTTACTGGCACACCACATTGGGCGTTATAGGACCTTCTGTCTCAGCAAGCATAAGTTCCTGGGCTGTAAGTTCCTGTGCAGTTCATAAACTACCACTGTCCCTGTCTGTATGTCATGTTTCCACAGCACATGTGGGGAAGCTGTGGCCAATATGCCCCATGTGGCCCTTGGCTGCTATCTGTGCAGCCAGCAGTACCTCTGGGAGCCTTAGCACCTACGATCAGCAGTTCTCTTGGAGAGAGAGCTCACCATGACCTCTGGGAGAGGGGAGTGGATTTGCAGCAGGGAGATCACAATCTTGTTCAAGGATCACAAATGGGCAGGGTAGGTTTCAGTCTCAATCTCTCCCACACTAGAGACTTTCAAAAAGGCCATCTGAGTGGGATGGTGTGACCTGGTGTCCTGCAACAGCAGGGGGTTGGACCCCGATGGCCCCTTCATGGCTCCTTCTAGTTCTACTACTCTATGATTCTATTATTCCCTGCAAAGCCTGCAAGCAAGCAAGATTGTCCCCACGACACGCACCCAAATCCCCTCCCATCGCTTTCCATGCTAGGGTTCCAATCCAGTCTGCAGCCCTGTGCCTACTCTAGAGTGAACGAGAAAAGCTGCTGGAGCCACATTTTAAATGCCTGTTTTGGCCCTCATAGGTGAACACACATGTGCTCGTGGGCTCCTGGAGAGGAGGGTGGACCTTCTCCCCAGCGAGCGAGAACGGGAAAGCTGGCAGAGACAGGCAGGCCCGCAGAACCTGAAGGCGCTCCTGTGGAGAGCAACCAGAACGCCTGGAGCTCCCCGTCAAGGGTTGCCAACACATCCTTTCCAAGCGGGTGACTGCGATGCTCTCTACGAACGAGTCGCGCTGGCGCGATTAGCAACTTCCCGAGGCGGTCGCCACATTCACACCCTAATTTGGTCACGCTGCCTCCGAGTTCAGACAATGCAAAAGGCTTCGACCGGCTCCCGCAGCACGCCGCCGGGCCTCCATCTTCCCCGCGCTTCAGGCGGGAGCGAGCAAACGGCCCCCGTGTCCTCGGCGGCAGCGCCCACTATTCTCGCGTTGCGCCCCCGAGAGCGCAGCAAGGCGCAGGTCGCAGCACAGCGAGGATGCCGGAGGAGGCGGCAGCCGGCTCGACAGGAAAGAGGGCCACGCGGGAAGAGCCGGCGCTGCCCTCCGAGCACCCGTCACGCGTCCGCCCGACGAGTCCCAAGCACGTTATGCGGGGGCACAGATCTCATTGTTTTTAGTTGGAAGCCCGTTCAGGATTGCAGTCTTAGTAGACTCAGGGATGATAGGCAAAGCACCAGCACCATTAGCATGAGCGCTATTAGTGGGCGCTAGGCAGAAGTTCAGCCCTAGTTAAATAGGAAGCCCCAAGAAGGGAGCGTGGCCGCTCCCCAGCACCACCAAGCCGGCATCAATCCCATGCTTGGCCACTCGGAAGCAAGCCTCATTGAGGTCCATGGGACTTATGCCCGTTAAGGCCGTATAGGGTGGCGCCCTGCGCGTGGCAACGGTATACCTGGGAAACCCTTTGCCCTCTACCAAACAGCAAAGGGCAGCAATAGCGCTTCCAGAGCGAGATCGAGGGTGGGCTGGAGGCATTGCGAGCCCCCTCCCCCGCCGATCACGCTCTTGCCGGTCTCCGACCGCGTGCGCTGTCACATGGATCCCGGTGCGGAAGTGCTGGATTGATCCCACCTTTCCCTTTTGCAGCAGGCGACGCCTTGCAGCTCCTTCGCGAGCCGGACGCCCCCAACCCCCGAACCCCGCGCCTCCAGCCGCGCCGCGCACAACCTGCTGCCCGAGCGCGCCTCTTCGCGACCTCGTGGCGCGTCCCTTGCGCGCTCCACTCACCTCGCTGGATCCACCACGCCAGCCGGCTCAGGAGGATCTTGACTTTGGGGTAGCCGGTGGGGGATTACACAGTAGCCGCCTTCGGAGGCTAAGTGCAAGAGGAAGTGTGGCTCACGGAGGGAGTGTCAGAGGAGGGAAGCTGATGCCAAAAAAAAAAAAAAAGTGCAAGAAAGATTGAGCGTGAGCAGAATCGTAGGTGTCGCCCTCGTAGAGGAACAGAAGCCGGCGACAGAGGGGCGAAGGAAGAGAGGGAGGGCGGAGGTAGGCTCGGCTTCTGCAGGGTTCTCGGGAGCGGCTCTGCTGACTCCGTTTTCAACAAGTGACGTGTAGCTCTGCGTTAGATGAAGGCTGCTTCTGTCGCACCTGTATGCCCGCTAGGTTGACCCAAGAGCGCCGATCGGTGATTCACAGGTAGGAAGGAGCTTGCCGTACATCAAAACGTGCGGACAGAACTTGGTCCGTCGCCTCTCAGCCACACAGCGCGTTTCAACGGGCAGATGCCACGCATTCACCTACGAATCAGCAGCTGATTTACATCCATGCGGCAACGGGCAAGATGTATTCCATCGGTGGCCCTTCCCACAACATCAAAGCTGCAATCCCATACGCACTTAACCTAGGAGCAAGTTCAATAGGAGTACCGACTAGATAAATACACGGAGGGTTAAGTTGTAAAGGGTTTTCACATCTTTATGGAAGGGGAAATGTGAAAACAATTCAGAAATGTCCATTCTTTGCTTTCACCGCTTTTTACTTTCTAATTAACCTGCCCCTAAATGCAAGATAAAAATGAGTACAACAGGCAAGGGAATCTATGAGAGCAATGCAAGTTTGAATGCACTGTGAATTTTTAACCTTTAAAAACCCTAATCCTTTGCTTTTCTTTGACTATCTGTGCACATACATACAGGCACTTCTAGGTGGAGGGGATCCTAGCACTGCCAGTTAGAAGACAATCTGCACCATTTCATCTTTTTCACAGTAACAGATTTTCTGTGGTAAGAAAAAGGATAAAAGTAGTAGCAAAGAAATACCAGAGGACTGTGAGTGGCTAATGGCCTCCATAAAATTCCATGAATGAGGCAGAGCAATGGCACAGTAAAAGCCTTGTTTGGAAACACCCTCAGTTTAATTCAGGCAGGTTTGTATACATCTCTTTTCAGAGCCAGCTGGACACAGTGAAAGGAAAGCTTTCCGGTTCAACCTTTTGCCCCACATGAACAGATGTGCTCTTCAGAGAGTACAATACATGTTTCTGTTTATGGGAAGTAATCATAAAGGCTGAATGATAAAGGCTGTAATTCTGTACAAACTTACTCAGACAAGTGAGGCTTACTCCTGAGCAAACAGGCATAGGATTGAACTATTGGACTAGAAACAGAAGTCTAGGTCTCAAGCTAGGCCTAGAGGCTCCTAGCTAAGGCTCAGCATCCCCCCTCCTGCCAGTTCAAAATCCCCTTCCACTGTCAGGCAGAAGATCTTAGTGAGTTCCCCTCCAGGAGGTAAGGTGATTGAATGCATAGCTGCAGAGGGCTCTCAACTCTATACAGGTACAGTAGGAATTGACTTTTTTTAAATCATGGCTTTCTTCAAGGCTGCTGATAACAATCAATCAAAAGTGCAGTTCCATAAACAACTGCACAAGTAAAGCATCAGAATGTAAAACCATTTCAGCCCTAAAGCTTTTCTAACCCTGCTTGTGAAAAACGATGCCTAACCACTTAATGTTACTCTGTGCAACTGTTAAAGGTACAAGAATCTTGTCTTCCTCCAGGCATCTTTAGCAACAGGTAGTTTGGCAGAGCCCTTCCTTGGTTACACAGCTTTACTGTGTGCTGCTGGCAAAAGAGCTCTTTAACCCCTCCTGCATCAATAGTAGAAGAGGCTTAATCAGAACTGCAGCCAGGAGGAATTAGGGGAAACATTTGTCAAGACCATACTTCACTAACTAGGCACAGGTAGGGAGTTAAAGAATCTTGAATCAGTATGAGCAGGTACATAATATAAGCAAATGCCTAAAACCAGGTGCTTCAAAAGCAGAAACATTTTGAGCAAACAAGTGACCAGGTTACTTATTGTTTCCTTGCCATGCTGTTTCTCCACACAAAATCCAAAAACTTGCTAGTGTTTTCAATAAAACCTCAAATCTTCAATAATTTCACACAGTATTTTCTAAATCTTTGGAGTCACAGAAGTCCCATTTTGATTAGCCACACAATCACAAATTTTGTTGATATTTGGTTGACCTAATAAAGGTATTACACTAATAGGTATTTTGGCACATTTTTCCATTCATTCTAGCAGGATGATCAATGGTCAGGAATGCTGTGATTTGTAATCCAAACATCTGGAGGACACCAACTTGGAAAAATCAGTAAGATGTGAGTTGTTGGTTGCCTATGAAGTAGTTTAATGTTTTTAAATTCAAGCAAACACCTCAAATATAGTACTCCATGAAGTTATGAAGAGATGCAAGTGGTAATGACATACCTAACACCAAAAGACTGAAATTTTGCTTCATGCATTCATTTCTAAAGGAAAGTACATTTCACTGGGTTTTACGGTTTATCCAAATTGTTTCTAAAGTAAGAAGAACATGTATGAGAACATTCACTGAGGTCAAAGGTCAGGAAGCAGATACCACATTTCCTTTAGAACAATATAAGCAGATAAGTACACGGAAATTGCTCTAGCTGTTTTTGTCATAAAGCTTCCTATTTACTCTTTAGCATAGTTAACTTAAAGAATCAAGTTCTCACCCTTTACGTAAGTTGGTATACTATGGATATGTTCTAGGAAGTCTGTATCGCTGAATAAACATGGTGGTCCAGACAACTTAAGGGGATAACACAAGATGAAATCACTTGGTGGCAAAGAATAAAAATTCAGATTTGTATCTTTTAAAAGTAGCCATCATTTCTAGTCAGAAGATCAAACAAACATAATGCATAGCATAGTAATATATTTTTTAAACAGTTTACTAAAAGATAAGTCCTATGACTCAGTAACAGAGTATATGCTTTACGTACATGCAGAAGATTCTAGGCTTAATTCCTTAATTTCCATATTAGGCCAGGAAAGGCCTGTGAGAAGACTGGGAAAGTCTCTGTCAGTCAGTATAGTCAGTAGTGAGCTAGATGGAACAAAAGCCAGATGTGATGTAAAGCAGTTTACTATCTCTTTCAGAAGTGCTTGATCTAAGAACAGGCATGATATAGCTAGAACCCCTCACTGTTCAGTAATACCAAATTTATTAAATAGCCTGGGAAATTTGTTATGGCTCCCACAGTGACTAGACATAATGATGGTCCCCAAGTGTACAGAGATTGCCCAAATTGTCCATCTGGAATGATCTCTACAGTGCAATCCTATGCATGTCTACTCAGAACTAAATCCTATTGAGTTCAAAGGGTTCTTTCTTCCAGTCAAGTGTATATTGCAGGTATAATTTTAATAGTCTGCAGCTGCAATCTTATATAAGAATAAATTCTCCTGCATTAGGGTGGCACTGTGAGTTGAAATGTTAGAAAGGAAATAATTAAGGAATGATAAAAGTGTGTACACAAATTATGCAACAGAAACCAATGGAGTTGATAGTTCTTGTAGACTCTTTTTTTTAAACCCCTTCACAAACACCTGCTTTTAGTGGAAATGGTGACCTGACTGCTGCTGGGGGGAAGGATTGTGTCTCACTTCCTTTTTATGGTTCATTCTGTCTCATCAACCTTGAGAATATTGTGGTTAGTCAAGTCCTCTAGAAAAGTTGATAAACACACAGCTACCTCTGATGCATTGGTGGGCCAATGCGGGGTTTCCAGAAAAGGAAACAAGAAGCAATTGGTGTGCAGGTCTCTGGATACTTCCCTTTTGCCATGGTAATCATATGCATGAACTAACTTGGCACACCATCCACAGCCAAAACCAAACTATTGTAATCCCTCTTCCCCTCCACAGTCTTAGAGTCTCCTTCCAACAAGCCCTATCCTCATTCTTCAGAAAGTGCCCAGGCCCCTAATCTGCCTAAACCTCTGCAATTCTCAGAACAATTATATAAGCCTTCAAACCCAAACTCATCATGTATGCCTATGGTCTTATCTTCTATGCTCAGCAGTCCTCAGTTTAAGGCACTGAATGGGCCTTGGTGCTAATCACCCAAAATCCTGTGTGTGGATGTCTACCATATTTCGTTTTCTGATTTGTATGATTAATAGGTCCAGGACTGTTCACCTTATACAAGCTGGATGAATCCACATTAGACTTTTTATAGTGTCTTATTGCAATAAGTTAATTCTGCACAACTGATCATTTATACATTTTAATTCTTGTGTAGACAATAAGCAAACTATTTTTGAATCAGACCAATGTCTGAGTCAGTGGGATAAATATGCCCAGAAGTGCTCTGGCCAAAGTAAAAAAATCCATTAGAACAGCTATCTCGTAAGGTGTGTACATGTGCCCATGGAGGCCATTCATTAATAAAATTTTAAAAATATTTTTGGCCTACCAACTTCTATCAGCCCTGTCAGTCATAGGCAAGGGATTATGGGAGTTCTAAGCCCAAGCTTCTGAAAGCCACAAGTTATTCACACTTGGCATAACTCTTGAAAGTTACTACTATAGACCATTTTGGACGTTAAAGCTGAAAACCTATACAGACTTACCTTGGCATAAGGACCATTGAATTCAATAGTATTTACATCTGTGTAAACATGCACAACATTGTACCTTAAATCCAAAGTACATGTACTGGCAAGTAAGCTCCAATAGGCCTTGCTTCTGACTAAGTATGTATACAATTAAAATAGTGCTACAAAAACTGTCAGTGAATTTCAAGCATGCTGATCATTTCACTTTTTTCAGTGTCATTTGTCTCACTTACGAAGCATTATACTGCAATACAGGATTTAATCAGCCCAACTGTGTGGCTGTTTAGTCTGAAGCTGAAACCAAATGAGAATGAGAATTCTGCTCATACCTTTTAGCTGTTGAAGTGTACAATGAGGTTGCAAGCTTTGAAGCAAATAAAATGAGTTAAGTGTTACCAGGACAAGAGTGCTAGTAGTCTTCACAGACACAAACCTTCCATAGGCCATAAGCATGTAATATGACATCAACACAGAACCTTAAATATATTAGCAATTGATAGCCTGGTT